TAAGCACTAAAAATGTAACTTCAAGAAAGTTAGATCAAAAGTTAATAGTTACCGATAAAATGTAACTAAATTAAGTTAAAAGTTAAGAGCCTAAAATGTAATTAAGTTAAGTTAAAATTATTTAACTTTCTAACTTTTTAACTTAACTTTTATCTTTTTAATTAGCCACTACCCAACCCTGAATATAAAGAATATTATGATGTAATTCTTATTCTCTTTTTATACTTTCTGTCATTAGAGTAATAAGCTAAAACGTATTTTTTTCAGCTGAGACGTCACTTGTCGCTACTTAAAAATAGTACAACACTGTCTGTCATCGAGCAAGTGCAGCAGAAGTGGAGATTGTTTTGTAAAGAGCCACCTAAGGGATTCGAAAAGTTTTATAAGCCAGGTTTACCTTTTTGCTATTTTCATTCATTCTTTTCTTTAGTCTTACAGCAAATTGTATAGAACTTTTAAAGAAATTGCATTACAGGTGAAGGTAAAAATGGTAAAAATGCCACCAAGAAAGCAGAAGAGACAAGTAAAAATGCTAGTACAAAAAAACCTCCATCTTCATCTACCTCTGGCTCTACATCGTCGTCTGGTTCCAAAGAGCCAAGTTTCCAGTGGATGTCTAAGCTTTTTGGAAGCAACTCGAAAGGAGGTAAATCGTTTGAAGGTGGTGATAAGGAAAAGACGCTTATGATACTGGTTACACTTGGAGTAAGTGGTCTGATTGCATTGATGCTTACCCAAGACTTAAATCTGAAAGAGATTACATGGAGAGAATTTATATATAAGTGAGTAAATTTTAATATATATTATAAGCATTAATATGAAATAATAAGACAATACAGATTAGTCCAGATTATTAGTTGAAATATAATTGATTAACTTATGAAAGTAATTAAAAAGTTCTTGTTAATTCGTAAATTGATTTTAAAATATTCAGCTCTTTATTTCATTTATTTTACTGACTTTTTTATTACGCGCGTTACAAACATTGTAAATAATATTTTAAAGTACCAATAAATTATATAAGTATTCCTTTGACATGTCATTTTGTTTATATTTTAAATATTATCTTTATTTATCTTGTTTTATAATCTCTGTATATTATTTGCAAAACAGAAATATTTAAAAAAACGCCTTTTTTCGAATACTAACGAGATTAATTCCCATTTTTTGAACGCTGAATTCGAATCCGGTTGTAAAATTGTTCTATCACAATTTTGAGAAATTTGAAGGTAAATTTGCGAAAAAGGATTATTTTTACATATTTTATCATATTATAATTTTGAAATGTGATGTGCTAGAGAAGTGTTCTTGCAATCAAAATTAAGTATGTTGTTGACTTTCAACTCTAAAAAGGAATTTTTGTGTGTCTGTATAGTTAACAAGATATTGTTAAATATAGGGATTGCAGAAAAGCTGTGAATTAAATATAATTTGACAATTTACCAAACAGCTTTCAATTTTGTTATTTTACAGAGTTCACATTTTCAATGTGGGACTTACACAAAAAGTAAAACCTA